GGGGAAGGTGAAAAAGGTTAAGGAGAGACAAGAGAGGGCTAAAATCCCTAACTACCACAGTAAGACATCAAAAGATAAGGTCTAACATGCTATACTTAAGATGTGCCACATATATAATTGACTTTTGAAGTCTGCCAGTGTTATTTAATAGGAATACATTTTAAAACAATATTTCAATAGAAAGAAGTAAGAAGAACAAACTAAAAGACGACTGAAAAATGTAAGACAAAACAAACGAATATGTAAAGGACAACCTAAGTAGAAAATCTGCTAATGTAAGTGCTTCTCCTATACACAACCATGATCCCAACATATAACTTTAATCACCAACCACACTTTTGCCTATGAAAGTGACAATAATACTTTTTAAGCAAAAATGCAAGGACATAGTCACATCCCCAGATTGATGATGGGAATGTAATTAGCAAATTTTTCTTAATCTGACACTACCTCTTGGAGTGTACAATTTGGTTCAACCTTAAAACAACACATACTTTACTATACTAAAATTCCGTTACAGGAATTTTGTCCTTAAAAAATGAATTTGCATAAAAATTTACATGTCCCAAGGGTATTCTCTGAAATATTAAAGTATTAAATGGTTGGGCATAAAATTTCCTCCCAAAACAAAAACAGTTAAATAAATTACAGAATATTAGCACAACAGAGTATTATGCCATCTTTAAAAACAAACAACATTTCAAAGGGGAAGGGTGGCAGGCAGCAAATCTGTAAGACAGGAGAAAAGACTCTAAGATGAAAGGACGTAAAACACAAGTATGGAGATAAGCAAGTACAAATTATGTATGGGAAATGACAATTTATTTCAGCTGTAACACTATCCGAGCAGAAACAGTGAAAATCCCTAGGATATGGCTGTACTGCATGCATCACTGAATCTGTTCACCTGGATAGTACGAACGCAAGTCAGTAAGAACACAAGCTTTGAAGCCAAAAGACCTGGGATCCAATATCCAAACTCTTTTTCATTACCTGAGCAACTCTGAATTTGAATCTCAGTCCCCTATGTATAAATTTAAATCCTACTACCTTTCTTTGGTACTATTAGAAAAATGAAGAAAATGATGTAAAGAACTGGGCACGCTTTTATCAGAATAAGTGCTAATAAACAGTCATTTTTTGTTATGTTAAGCCACTAGCAAAATATCAATTTTAAAAGAAGCGTGGAAGTAGAAAGGTACTGTTGTAAAAGATTTGTATGGTATTTACTTCTAAGTAACTGTCTTAATTAAATACATGAGTAAGCACGTACTATGTAAATTTATTCACCAGTGAAGTAGCACATTTCAGCTGTAGCCATAATTGAGAACATAATCATATACTGCCTCTTACTGTTTCACGGGAGAATTGATTGTTCTGTGATAATGTAAGCTAAAAGAATAGAATTTATGTTTCTGTTTCATTTATATCTTTAGCAGTCTTCACAGTTTATATATATTTTTTGTTCCGTTTTAGTTGTGAGAGTAGCAGTACAGGTGCTGACTGTCCTGCTTTATTGGTTGAGAAACTTGCCCAGATCTATAACAGTGAAGAAACTAGACCTCATTTTTTAGTTTAGATCCAGTGCTTTCAATTTATACCTGCTTCCTCTTTTTGCCATTTAGTGTCATCTATAACTAAATACTTTCACTTACTTCATTTCATAGTCCTAACAAGCAAGTGTCCATAACTACTATGTGTATGCTACCTAAATCAAGCTATTTGAAAGAAAAATGATGGAGAAATAATTGTGTAAATGAAAATACCCATTCTTTTATTTTAGATGCTATTTTAAAAACAGCACCATAAATTTATATAAAACATTTAATGAATATTATGTAAGTAATACAATTCAGTATTCCATGTATGAAATTCATGACATTTAAAAAGAATGAATAGCAAGACAGAAAATGCTTTTATATATTATTATTAATACGTTAATAGAAGTAAAAGTTTTTATCAGTATGCATTTTAAAGAAGGATCAGCTAAGGCTCAGAAGTCACTTTCAGTTCTGACACTTCATGATGGCTTAATCACCACTACAGCTGGTATCATTTTAAAGTGTAGATCCCCTTTTCTCAACACCTATTATTTGCCAACATACAGTGCTAACTTTCTATGTATAGGTAAGCTGAAATCCATTACAACTTATTCTTTATGATTAAAACCTTAAAAATACAAAAATATATCCAAAATTATCACTAGGGAAAAACATTCTATTTAATTCTATAATGGCCTTTTTGACTATCTTCATGAGACAAAATAAACAATCACTTTCGTTTCCAAAGAGAATAAAATAAACACAGTATTTGTTCTCTTTTTCTGAATAGGGTTACTAAGTATGGGGCAACAGTCTAAGGAAAGTTAAAGTAGATTCTATAATGAAGGTTATCTTTGATATTTTCTTCTTTAAAGTAGGAACATGAATTAGATGTAAAGTTGCTTCAGAGCCTTTAATTTCCCAACTTTCATTACTCCCAAAAGAAAGGAAACATTTATTGAGAGTCTACTATGTTCAAGATACTTCAGTGGGATTAAATTGAACACATTTAAAATGTATTTCCTACTAATAAAGATAATTTTCAACGTGAGAGCCGCCACTAGGGGGGGTTGATTTTTCTTAATAAATTCATCTCAAGACTGAAAGAGCTTCAGGTTAAAATTGTCAACTACTTTAGTCCAAAATTTTATGGGATATATATATATAATATATATATGTAATATAAAATAAACATATACCATAAAATTTATATTTAAATAGTTGTCTTTTTAAACAGTCCTGTAATTATGCTACAGCATATTTTATCTGTAAATAACATAAAATGGCTCTCATTTAAGAGGTCAAAGTTAAGTAGGTCTGGATAGCATTTTCAGCTCAAAACAAGATCTATTTTCCCCAATGTTGGCAGGTTTTAGGGCTCATTAGGTCACAGACTAGTAGTTTAATTTTAAAACTCAAATTTAATATCAAGTTTAATGACTTCATTTCTAAAATAAACTTTGATTTACTGCATTATAAAGTTAACAATTTTTCATTCAGGTAAAAATAATTTATATAAACACTTTCACTTGATAAAGAAAATACCAGCACTAGCCTTTTCTTACAGAGGAAGCTGGTGATATTTAAGGCATTTGTATGATTAGAAGCAATATATGGTGCTCAGTAGAGATCTGATAAACATCTATGCTAACAAAATAAAATGTGGGTGAATGGGAAAAATACTTTTGTTATATTGTAAGAAATTAATACAAGCATATTAAAGACTAAGAAAGTATATTAGGATAATCTAATAAAAAGTACATTTTACGCAAAGTAACTAAAATCCATAAATGTTAAACTGTATAATGAATACAAAATTATGGCATTTGTTTTTGTTTACAAAGCCACCCAGGTCCTTTTATAACACCCTAACTGAAACCCAGTATCTTAAAAACACATCAGGGAAAGCTTCCTGTTTTCTCACTATACACATAAAACCTATGACGTCCCTATTATATATGATGCTAAGTATATTATTGCATTAATAAACACATAGAACAGACATTTGTGATGCCTCCCAACTTTAACCATGAAGGACAATGTCAAATAAGACAAACATACTTTAATATAAGAAATCATTCTACAAAATTAAAAGTATTATAAACCGATGTCTCAAACTGCCAAGGTAGAAAAACTGCTGGTTTGACAACATTCCCTTAAAACACACTCTATCATAAAACTTCCATATTTTAATCAGTCTATTTACAGATTATTATCCTCTGTTAATGCCAATTCACAAGTCTAGTTCTGAAGAACTATGATAACTGAAATTCTGAAAGGAAACTAAAATTTTAGAATGAAACTTTAAACCAATAACTGGTTTTAAATGTAAATCTTAAAGTGTTATTTTTCTGGTTCCCATTAGTGACAGTTGGAGTCTAAGCAAAATGCACACTTCTGATTTGGTCTGAGAGGACGTTTAAGAGTTCTTAAAATTGTTTACGAAAACTTGAAAAACATGCAGGTAAAGTAACTCAGAGATAAAACTAGAAATAAAAAAATTGGAACAAACACATGAATACAACCACCACACAACAGGAAAAGTTTCCAGCACGGATACTTTTTTCTGACACACAAGAAAATAAAGTATTTGCCATCTCACACAAATATTCCACCAAAATCAACTGACAACGACAAAAGCAAGTTTGTACTCACTCAATTAGAACAAAACTTTGAAGGGGAAAATAATTAGAGGTAAATGTTAAGAATGAAAACCACTCTCAAATGCAGTTCTAAATATTTTATGTTACAGACTCTAAAGCCACCCCAAAAGTGATAAGCAAGCTTCCGAAAAAGATGTCTGAAGAATACAAATCCTCCACCGTATCCTGTCCGTTGCATCCACTCCCACCTGCTACCACGTCTATCCACTTTACCGATATGGTCACGATGAGCGCTACAAAACTGCTGCCAAATAAGTAAATAAGAGCGCAACAGAAAGCCAGTAGGTGGGGACCAAAAAGTACCTTTAGAGGCACTCAGCCCCTTCGTAAAAGTCAGCACGTGTTTAGCTCTTTAAAACATCTCGCCCTACCAAAGTCTACCAAGAATGAGAATTAAGACTGTCCTCTAACCTAACGCATGCGGATATTAAAAGTGGAAGGAGATTTCAAGACAGGTTTATACTAACTAATCCATTAGCCCAAGGCAGATCAGAGCTGTCAACAAATCAGGACCAAATCAGAGAGAACAAAGTTACAAATGCGAGAGGGTGTGTATGCACCGGTGCGGGGGAAGAGGATGGGTGGAAGGACAATTTTTAAAATGCAATCATTGAAAACGCGAGAATTCAAGTCCTCGGTCTCCCGACCGGCCTCCAAACCTCGATTCCACGGGCAGTGCCGGGAATGAACCTAATCCCCAGGATCGCAGGGATTTGGGGGCGGGGTGGGGCTGCCTCCCGCACCCGCGTGCCTGTGCGCCCAGCCCCCGCGATGAGGACGCGCTCGGGACACTCACGTTTTCTGCACCGGCTTCCGCCGCTTGCGACTGGCGTAGGTGATGTTGGCGCTGCTGCTGTTCATGGTGCCCAGCCGACGGCGGCGGCTACTCCCCGGGCACTGGCGGCCGGGTCCCCGGGACCTGGTGTCTGCCGGGACGACGGCGGCGGCAGGCGCCGGGTTCCGCGAAGCCGCGCCCGCTCCACCTGCGTCCTCTCCAGACAGTGGCGTGGGCGCTGCGCCTCCGCGCCTCGGCTACCGCAGGCTCCCGCAGCCCGCGCCAGTCCAGGTGAGCTGCCCGGGCCTGGCGCCGAAAGGGGGGGCAAGGGGCGGAGACCCGCGAGCGAGGCGGCGCAGGTGCCGTCTACACCGGCGGAGGCGGCGCGGCAATGCCCGCAGGTGAGGCGGCCCGGGCAGAGGAGGAACCTGGGCCGTCTATTTAGAATCCTGGCCTGGGTCGCTCACGGTGCCGCCGCGCTCCGTGACCGTAGCCGCGGCCCCTTGGGTGAGGGAGGCGCCGCCGCGTTGCTCCCGGGACTTCCCAAATCCTGGGTGCTTCCCGCCTGCGGAGCTCGGGGGCCAGCCACCAGTCCCGGCTGCTCCTAGCTTACGTTCGGCTACACAGCTGCCCCTGGTCTGAGCTGGCGGTCCGGGGCACGCTCTCGGAACAGAGCGTCGAGGGGACTCCCCAGCCGCTGCCTCCCGCCGCCGCGCGCACCGGCTGAATAGCACAAGCACCCCCGACCCCTCACCGGCCCCGCCCCGCCCAGATCCAGCGTAGCCCCGCCCCGTCCTGCTTGCCCCCGCCCATCTGGATTCCATTCCATCTTCCTTGAGGGCCCCACCCTCATCCCGGCACGTGATGACGCAGGACGTAACGACGCCCCCCCGCCGGTAGCCATCTTCGTGCATAGGCAAACTCATTGTAGCTAGACTATACAAAGTATATCAAGATATGCCAAATATAGAGCTTAACTTCGCCTGTTTGAGAGACGGTGGTTCAGCTGACTTGTGGCTAAGAATTACAATTAACTGGTAGACAACCAATGGGACTATATATTTTCCTAGTTGGGGAGGCTTCAGAAGGCCAGATTTCAGTTGAGACTTGAAGGCTAGGGGTTTTCTTGACCTTTTTTGGGGTGGGGGGAAGTCTTTACAATAGACAGGAAAATAGATAATAAGGGGACTATTATGTGTTGTGTCATGGAGGACAATGTGGAAAAATATTGGGAGTAGTTAACAGTATTGAATGCTGTTGAGAAATTCAAATTAGAGGAGAACTGAAAATGTCATTCTTGTCTTCTCAGTGTGTAGTCATTGATAATTTTCGTGAATGCTGTGTTGGTGGGGTAATGGGCCTGCAAATAACATTGAAGTGGGTACAGGATTGCTGGAGATGATGAAATGGCATCCTCAAGCAGACAATTCTTCCAAGTTTAACTGTGGATGAGAGACACATCAGATGGTATGTAGGGGGAGTGAAGGGTTAAATGAGGGTTTTCTAGTTTTGTTTTGGTTTAGTTCTTTAATGGGTGATACTGAGCAGCTTAGAGGGGTGGAGATAAACTATGTAGGGAACCTGAGGGAACAGTTAAGGAGTGATAGATATTAAGATAGCGAAAGCAGGAGGGAATGAGTGCCAAAGCATAAATGGGAGATTAGGACTAATAGTTTAGATACTAACAGAAACAGCACTTCCAGTACTTTGCTGTTCAGAGTACTCCACAGCTTCTTATGAGAGTTATAAGAAATGCAGACTCTTTGGGTGTCCATATTAAATCAGACCCCGAAGTTCACAAGAACTCCCAGGTGATTCAAATGTACATAAAGTTGGAGGAGCAGTTCTCTACCATAGCTGGAGGAAAGGATGGTGGGTGAAATGTAGTAGGCTACTAAATTTTGGATCAGAAAGATGAAGGAGATGGAACAAAGGGTATTCTAGCATGAGCTACAAAAGAACAACTGTGTTTTGTGGTTGATGATCTTTGTTTAATTTTAGAAGAGCATAAAGTAAAAGTGATCTGGGAAGTGACAACAGGGAAGTAGGTGGACATCCACTCTATATCCTGGATGTGTGATAAGAGAAAATAATTAGGCAGTATTTGGGAGAGCTTATAGGAAAGTGATAGCCTCAGTAAGCCAGCTTTCAGTTTAAGGAAAAAGATGGAGCAAATTCCCAAAGAAGACAGTGTACACTGGGAAAGTTTGATGTTTATGAATTAGCAATTGCAGAGGCAAAATCAACCATCTCTATTTTCCCTTCTCTTTCATTTCTTCATTTCTCTATGCTTACTCAAAACGTGTAAATGTAAAAGAGTAATTTCTTCCTAGCTAGGAACTTGAAGGGTGAAAATTTTATATCAAAACATAATATATTGATTCTGTAGCTTATAACTCCTCTTCATAAAAGAGATGTACTAAATGCAATGAACCAATCTTAATTTAGAGATTTAAAAATATCCTACCCTTTTTAAAGTTGTTGGCTATTAGGTACAGTCATTTTCCACCTTATTTTGACTTTCATACCCTTATTTTTTATGTTTAACTTTAGGGTTATTTTCATTATCCAGAAGTCATATGCTGTATTATGTTACACAGTCTTAGTTAAGTAACAGATATTTCCATAATTAAGATTAAAATTGAATATCAATAAAATTCCCAGAATTCATTTTGATAGTAACTGAACTTAACAGTTTTGCTAGTATGTGAATAAAACTTGTATAGTGTAATGCCATTTAAAAAAAATGAGCTGCCATGATCTAGAAACTTCCTGTACTGGCACTGTGGAACATGGTTCTCAAAATATGGTTTGTGGCCATCTGCTAAGATTTAAAAATTTTTTTGTGAGCAGTTTTTTTTTTTTTTTTTGTAGTTACATGATTTTTTTTCTCATAACAATTAATTTGGCTATAAGAGTCAGTGAACATTTGATTACCTTATCCAAAGAACATCCTTTTAATCAATTGGGTTGATCTTACTTTCTGAGGTTTCAGATGCAGCTGTATGTGTATGGGTTTCTTTCTCCTGAGAAATAGTATGAGAAAAATGTTTTAGGAATGCTATTATAAATATCAGCTGTTCTTGAATAAAGGAAAATAATCAAAATGAATGCTCAACCTATTCTATCACAGTTCATTTCACTAAGCAAGATTTTGGCCCCATATAATATACCAGACACTGGGTTATGGTAGTGATATCAGACATGTTCTTTCCTCTTAGAGCTTCCATTCTAACGAGAGAGACAAGAATTAATCAGATAGTTACACAAATGAATGTATACTTACAACTGGAACAAGTACTGTGAAATGAATACTCTGAGATTGTATAATAGGTGGATTTGACTTGGTAAGGGGAGGTTACTATGAGGGAGCTTGAACTGAGTTTTGAGGCATGGGTAGGCATTTTATAGGTGAGCTGGGGAGGAAGGGGTATTTCATGCAGACTGAACATGTATCACTTTTTAATCTCCTCTTCAATGCTGCAGCTCCTTACTTCAGGCCCTCAGAATTATCTATTTCACTCATACTCTGCTTTTACAGTTTACAGCATACATTGTAGCTATATGAAGTATTTTACAGAGGGTAGTCTATACTTCCTAAACTATGTACTGAGGCACCCCAGGAGCACCACAACAAACTTAGAGGGGCACTATCATGGAATATTTTAAATTTTCAAGGCCAACACAGTGACATCAGTTGGACACCATGCAAACCACTTTCTTGAGGTAGTTCAGAACTTCTACACATTAAATTGTACTTTATTCCTTTTGACAACATCATCATATCTTTGTGAGGCTGTGTTCTTGTAAATTGCTGTAATAAAACACAAGGACTATGGGAAAATTACTGTAGAACAGGAATGAGGGTAGTGGATTCCAAGTTTATTCCAAGATTTGAGAAGTTATAAAGTGCTCAACAGATGTGCACATCCCATTAAGAATGAAAAATGTTAATGTATATTACTTTTTAAATAGCTACTAAGTTGTTAGGATAGACAAACATAAGTTTGGATTTAACTGTTTAATAAATGGAACTGTTAGGTGTTTCTTTTAGCTTGCAACACCATGAAAAAATTACTGAGACGCTACGAATGCTGTGAACTGAGAAAGTTTGGGACCTTTGGCATAACTAAATCCTGCATTTAACAGGTGAGAAACTTCAGGCCCAGAGAGATCAAGTGCCGTGCTAATCATAGCCTAGAATCTGGGTCTTGTGACTTCTACTCCAGTCTAAAATGTATAACTTATCTCACTTTGAACTGTTCTGATTCATTTATTAAAAATAATCAGTTTACACATTGCTTGCTTTTACTCTTAACACCAAAGAACAGACATAGACATCTAAATGCTTAATGTCTTCTTCAGTTGCTTGGATACAACAGTGTCATAGAAGCCACAGAGAAGTAATTAATAGATAATGCTAATCTTAATTCTGACAAAGAAACTACAATATAGGAATAATTTGTTATTAGTCAGAATTTTTTTAATTCACTTATGGATAATGCTTTGTTGTAAAAAACATTTAGGTTTTTAACACGTGAAAGTACATTATTAAAATGTTAACATGCAGTAAGTTTGGATTTCGATTTTTTTTCTTTCCGGCCCTTTAATTCTCACTAATTTAAAATTTGATTATGGGGAAAGTTATAAAAAAAGCTTTGTGTTTCACGTGCTAAGATTCATGTCTAATTTATTAAACATTTTATTAAAATATATATGTATAAATATCATTTTTACTAAAATCCATTTAACTTTGGAGATAAATATATTTGGAATCTATATAACAATACATACTTTCTGCATTTTAAATCACGATATAGAAGAAACTGAAATTAAGATAAAATACATTTATTTAACAGAAAATTATTAACTTGATAAGAATAGCTTAAGGAAAAGTAACTTATTGTAAAACGCTGACCTAAAATATATAATTTAGATTTGCTAAACTTCAAAAGGCTATCATTCTTATTCATATTAAGAAACAAAATGTATTCTTTACTGAAAATGTTTAACAAATTTAATTAATACGTGGACAGTGGTTCTCAACATTTGTTGTGTATTGTAGTCACTTGAGAACTGTAAAAATTACTGATCCTTGGCTCCACCACAAAAATTTTTATTTAATTTATCTAGGTTGTGTCCTGGAATCAGGATTTTATGGGTGATAGAGGTATTGTGGCTATGTAACAGAAGATCCTTATTCTCAGGAAATACATGCTGCAGCATTCATATACATACACACATACACATACACACACATATACACAATTGTGAAAGGTATACAAACATTTGTGGTATTCTTTCAACTTTGCCATGTGTTGAAAAATTGCACAATAGAAAGAAAATATGTGCAAAAATAAATAGCCATGTACTTCCAAGTTAAAAAATTGAGAGAAAAAATATCTGAAGCCTGATAAGTGTTTCCATGGGAGGTCAGGACGGAGACATATTAGGCACCTAACTTTTACGTAAGATGAAGCTTTAGACCTTGCTCTAAATCTTGATATTACAGGAAACAGATGGAAGATAAATTTAAAAAGATTCAAAGTTTCTGCACTTCTCCAGTTTAAAAACAAAGTTAGAATCCCAAATCTCCATTGTACAGCCTCTGTGGACTGAAGAATATGTGTAGTTAGTTGTGCATTTCAAGAATTTAGCTGATTTATACTAACCACGAATTATTCATTTTGCTGTATTCACCAGTTATTTTACTAAGATGGTAATAGTTTCTA